TTGCCTGCACATATCTCCCTGTCCCATGACCTTAGATCCCTGGCATCCTCTGGTGAGCTCCAAAAAACACAACATGAACTCCTGATATTGACACAGGGAGTTACCCTTCACAGCACTCTGATTAAACGGAGCAGGTACTGCTAATCCCAGTTGAGAGTTTGTGAATCTGAACATCAGAGATATTAAGTAAATTTCCCAAGATCACATAGCCAGGAAGTAGGGGAGTGTGGATCATGTCTCCTGACTGCTGGTTCAGTTCCCTTTTTATGGCATTAAGTCTCTCTTATCAAGGTTTTCTTTATATGCACGGAGCTAAGAAATGCAGGGACTCTTCTGAGGGAAAAATGATCTCAACTCAAAATGTTTAAATGAACATTGCTCTGTGGCTGGTGCTTCCCAATACATCAGCAAAATTTATCACTGCACCAAACCTTCCTGTGGCTTCCCGTCACCAGGAATGAAACCTAAGTTCTTAGCATAATATACAGAGTTCTCATGATCTTGGTCCTGCCTTTGGCTTTGGCTTGCCCTCCTCCCAACACAGCTCACAACCCCTGCTTCACCTATCTATCCTCCAAGAAGTCTGCTCAGACTCACCCTCCCCAACCCAGGCTGGGTTGGGGTCTTTCTGCCAGGTCCCACAAACACCCCATACTTCTTTGACTGCAGCACTTTCCCTACCACATTGCACTCATCTGCATACTTGTCTGTCTCCTCTTTAGATAGCACACTCAAAGGCATGATGTGCCACAGTTCTGGGTAAAACTGTAGGTGCTCAATAAATGCTCCCAGACTGAATCCTCACTACCATCCTATACAGTAAACATTGTTCTCATTTTACAAATGAGGAAATGACACACTAAACAGACATCACCCCAATCAGTTGGGAAGTCCACCCAGCGGACTGGAACCCAGACCTCCAGCTGCTGTGCTACATCCTACCCTCATACTTCCTCCCTGTCTTCTTCAGCATTAGATGCTTCATTTGACTTTGGCTTTTCCAGTCTAGGCTGACACCCTGGATTAACCTTGCTGCTCTATATCCTGCAAGGCACAAGGAAGATAGAGTGTGTCCTGAACATCCACGCCACCCACCTCCAGTGAGCATCCTCCCCTCCTATGGATCACCCTTGAAGGAATATTGTCCTGTACACTCCTGTGGGAGACTGACTGCCCCTCTGACGAAAACCAGGGGGCAAGATATTTGCATTAATTCACAAACATGGAGGGTTGACTCCGTGTCAAGTATTTTCCAACTACTAGATCTGAGAAGAGAACAGACTCTTAGCCATGCCTGAAAGGGTCTTCTGGAGGCTGGATGAGGGCCTAGCAAGAAAGACAGAAGCATATGATAGGGAACTATCTAGAATGACTACAAAAGTCTCCAAATTCAGAACTATGAATCTGATGTGTGTCCTCTTTCTCCCTCTTACCCCCCAACAGCCCCTCCCTAATCCTTCTAAGCACTATAAAAAGCAAAATGTTTTGGAAAGGTATTAACCTAATTTTATGAAAGATTCCAAAATGTTACTTTAAGTACTTATGGCTCTAAGTGATTTTTGTTTCCAATACTTGCTGGCAGAAAAATATTACCCCTGCATTTCAATGCAGAGGAAATAAGGAGGCTGCATTTGGCCAGATTCATTTATTTAAGTTATTTCCTAAAATGAGTGTAATTTGAAAATCACTAGTATTATTTCCTCCCAGTGCAGGTTAATGCTTTATACATGGCCCCTGAAAGGGACACCTCTTGCAAAGAGAGTTATTAGCTTTTTATTTAGAATGTACTGTATAGGTGATTTGTGGGTATAACAAACCTGAATAATTTAAAGTAGCCTCTATTTGCTGAGAACTGCAGGTTTTTCTTTTTAAAGTAGATTTTAAATCTTTAAACTTTCAGAGATTAAGAGAGATTGGCCTGGGATTTATTTGTTGCAGGAATTTCTTTTTCTTGTGCTTGCGTCTTTCCCAGCATCCATTCTTTTTTCATGCCTCCATCTAGAATCATGTAACGTCAGCGTTAGAAAAGGCCGGAGACAGCCATCCTTTTGAGCCGTTGCTTTCAGACTTTTATGGCCAAATCCTTTATGCAAGGAAAATCTTAGCACCACTAGCAATAAAACAAAGGGAAACCAAACTGCCCTGGTGGGGATCTCTTTCTCCCCTCACCTCTTCACCCTTCTGCAAGGCTTCACAGAATCCCTGAGGAACACACTTTAAAAACAAAGACCCCTCACTTTTCAGTGAGAGAACTGAGGCCTGAGGGTGAGGGAAGACTTACCCAAGGTCACTCAGCAGGTATTAGGCAGAACCAGGACTAGAACCTGAAGCGTCTCCTTGAACTTGGCTTTGCCATTTTAACGTACATCTAACAACCATCTTTCAAATCCCAATCTCTGGAAGGCAGTGCACAGAGGCAGTCCTGCCCAGGAGCACAACACAGAATCACATTCATGCTGGTGGTCACAATAATGCTTGACACAGGCCACGGGCTCTAGAGGAGGGCTCCTCCTCAGGATGTGCCTGTCTTTCAGCAGCCCTCCCGCCTCCAGCAAGGCTGGGTAAGCTTGTCATTTCTAAGCAGGGCACGTTTTTCTGCGGTCCCCTTTCCAAAGAGCAAGTGGTGACAGCGCCTGGAATGCAGAGTCAGCAAAAGGGAAGCCACTTTGCCTGCAAAGGCCCTGCAGAGACCCTGCAGAGATCCCACCCCTTTGTCCTTCTTCCTCATGTGCTGAAGCCCAGGCCTTTTTCCTGGGAACTGGGCATCCTGTACCAGCCAACACCCCACGGAGCTTTTCTTATGCCCCACAACCCACGCTAATTCCAAATGAAGCCAAGGGCAATTTTTGTTTGACTTTGTGTTTTTAATTTCTGAGAAGGAGACAACTTGTGCATGAAAGGACTTTTATCCTGCTAAACACCTTGATGAGTTTAAGTCTGAATCTAGAGGACAAAAGTTTGAGAGAGCTTAATTCTGCTGCAGGAGGAAACAGGCTGCCTCTGTTTTGCTGTTTTGCTTTGTTTGTTGGAGGTAACAGCAGGGACATTAGAGAAGAAAGACATTTTGCAGGGCAGGAGGCTGGAGTCCAGTGTATCCAATTGGCTAAAGGGATTTTAGAAATAAAAATCTGTAATGTGAAATTTTCAAGTTATCTGTGTTGCTGCAATCAAAATTCCTCCTCTTCCTCCACTTTCAGGGAAGTCTTCTGTATATCTGCATGACTTCTTGAGGGGTAGCTTTCCTAGTGGGAATCAGGAAAAAGGGCTGGCTTCCACCTCAGGTGGGGTATGAGGAACCAGACACATGACGTGGGGCAGAGAGAAAAAGCATAGAGAGGGATGGTTAAATTAAAGCAGAGCTCAGCTTCAGGATAGGCCATAGAACAACAGACCCAAGGTGAGGTCCCATGATCTGGGGATGGTTTAGTGTTTCCACATCCCTTGAGATGAAGGTTAGATCTGTGTTCTCCCCCACTTCAATAGGCAGAGAGGCGCCACCTGAAGTCTAGCTTACATATCCCCTAGCCAGAGCATCTAACATGGTCACACAGGTTTTGCCAGCACTGTCAGAGGATTCTGAGTTAAGAAGTAGTACCCATCATTAATTCAAGCTTGCAACAGTTGCTGAATGCCTACAACTTCGACACATTGACAGTAACTTTCTTCTCTTTAATGCATTTGTGCTTGCCTGGTTTGGATATTCCAGAAAACCTTAAATAAAACGCCAAGTTTCTCTCAGAGCCAGATGAAGTCACAAGGTCCATGGAAAATGATTATTTCACCCCAAAGACAAAAGCATGAAGAGGCTCAAAATACTTAGCCTTCTTGCTTGCTAATGAGCAAGAACAACAATAACAATAAACATCTCCATTCTTTGGAAAAGGACATCAGAAGTGTCCTAGAATTAGACACAGATCTATCCCTGCTTTATGGGAGGTCTTCAGTGAGTACACCCAGAAAGTAAGGTAGAATTCAAGGAATTGCACACCCAGACATTTTAGGAGACAGATAAGGGACCCTGGTGTTCGTTACCAGTGTCCTCAAAGTTGAGAGAGGAAAGGCTTCCCTGGGAAGACATGAAGAAGGGTTAGCTGGGCTGGGTGAGAGCAGAGGTGGAGCCTATTTATAGGGAAGAGTAAAGAAATGTGCACATCTAACCAAGGTAGTGAGGCCCCCAAGGGTGACTAGGTGGAGAACCCCAAATAGCATCCCTTCATTTCACAAGGTTTCTTCCAATGCCCAGCCCAGTTTTACTTCTGGCCATCTCACCTCACTAATTTGCCAGTTCTAACCTTAGACAAGCAGCCTGGAGTAGAGGCCAGTGTTAGCCTTGCATCCAGAGCACGAGTGCTAGTCTCTGCTCTGCCCCACTCTGGCTGTATGACTCCCATTCAGTGACCCAAGCCTCAGCTGGTAAGGTCATAAACAGTAACATTTCAGAAGGGGTATGGTTTGGTTGGATTTGGTTTGCTTTTTTTTAGGCGGAACACTTTCTTCAAGTGAGATCTTATTCAAAAGCCCAATATACAAAAGAGAACAGGGAATGGGAGTGTGGCTCAGTGGTACAGCATTTGTCTAGCTTGCCTAAGGCCCTGGGCTCAATCCCTGGCACCTCAAAACTAACAAAAGAGATCAAAGCAGAATTGGCTGGAGTAAAGTGGAGATGACCATGGCAGTGCTAAGTTGCTACAGACCAGAGGCAGGAGCACCTTTCATTCACACAGGGTAACACAAGACTGGCACCTGTGGAGTCCTGTGATGGAGCAGCATCCACTCAGAGCTCCACAGAAAACATAGCTCAAAAAAATCACTGGACTAAAGAATGACAATAGATTTAGTCCAAAATATGCCCGCCACAGGGCTAACCCCAGTTCTCCTTCTCCTTTGCCCCTACTCAGCCTGGCTGCATCCCAGAGGAAGGGAGAATTTGGGGGCTTAGGGTGAAAGAAGAGGATATTGAGGAGGAAACAGCAACCTCTCAGTGCTCAGTTAATGCATACCTTGATTTCAATGTGAAACACTGGTGGAGGAGAGTGCCTTTGTGCACAGAATGAGCTTGAACTTGGGTCAGGAGGTCTGCTTTCTTGTACCTGCCCTCCTTTTATCAGCTGTGTGATCTCAGACAATTCATCTAACAGATGCCTGTTGTAAGTCTGTTTAAAGAAGCAAAAGAGAAATATGTGTGTTAAAATGTATATAAAAGATAAGCGCCTATAATCCCAGAGGCTCAGGAGGCTGAGGCAGGAAGATCCTGAGTTCAAAGCCAGACTCAGCAAAAGCAAGGCACTAAGCAACTCAGTGAGACCCTGTCTCTAAATAAAATACAAAATAGGGATGAGGATGTGGCTCAGTGGTCCAGTGCTCCTGAGTTTCAATCTCTAGTATTCTCAAAAATTTTTTTAAAAAGTATGTAAAATATAATATAATATTGCTTCTATCTTACTCTTAAATCTGATATCTTCCCAGAAGGGCAATGGATTTTGCCCTATCTGTGTGTGCACACGTGCGCTGTTGGGATCATACCCAGCCTCCAGCAAGCTAAGCCAGCTCTCCACCAGAGCTGTACCCTCTGCCCTGGGCCCCATCTTTTACCACTGAATCTCAATCTGTGATTTCAGAAATTCTTTAACATTTCAATTCTTTGATCCATTCAAATATTTGAAAACTATTTTTAAACTATTATTACATGCTATAAAGAAAACTACAAGATGCCTGGAGGACATTCAATGATGGGGGGGTGGGCAGACTGGCAGAACAGGAAAAGAGCAAGTTATGTCTAAACTCAAGAGTCAGTTAAGGTCACCAGAACAGCCTTTTGGAGAGCGTGGGATAGGAAAAGGCATGGAGTGTTGAATGTGGAAGGAAGGAAGGAAGGAAGCAGACAAATATAACAAATATAAGAGGGCAAATATAACCAGAAGAAAGAGAGAATCAAAATGAGGTTGGTAAAGGGGCAGGTGGGAGCCAGACCAAGCTTTTGTGTTTCTGCTAAATCTTATGTAGGATTCAAAAAGTTTGGCTTTTCATTTTCTTCTTGTGAGAAAATATATTTTCTTCCTGTGAGCAAATATATTTTCTTCCTGTGAACACTGCTCAATATGGGAAATAAAAATATTAAAATATTGAGGCTCATTGGCCAGCCCAACTAAGGACAGCCCAGGGTAGGGAGGATATCTAAATGATTTCAGAGCACCTGGGCATAGAAAGGGCCTGGGGTATTGGAATACTCCAGAGGCATCTGTTGCAAGAATGAATGACTGGAAGAATAAATGAATGGTCTTCAGTTTGATCATCGTTATATCAGTGATTCTGCCCCAAGAACTGGATACTAGGAATTCTAGGCTTTGGGCATTGGGCTATACCTCCTTCCAAATTCCAGACTGAAATTCCTTCACCTCCTCCCTGCCTACTGATTTCCAATCTACTCACAGCCTGTCTGGTGATGAGCATCTTTGTTAAATGTTAAAACAATTCTTCCTTATGCCAAAACTACCTCTCTAGAGCATTCATTCACGAATGTTTGTTCTACACCTTCAAGGTTATACAGAGTAAGTCTACTTCCTCTTTCAAGTGAGAACCTGTCAGAAATTTCTTACCTCCACTTGTCCCATGGAAACCATGCTTCAGTTTTAGATGGTGAAACTGGAGTCTTAACTCCTCAGGTAGATGAGCACTCAACCCAGGGCTTGTGAATGGTACCCACATTTCCCTGTTATGTGCTTTAGGTCCTTATTAGGGAGTTCCAGTAAAATAAACATTAGGACCTATGGCAAGTAGGGCTAAGGTTTGAATTCAATTTGCAGTCTCTTGAAAATATGTTGGATGGTTTGAACCCTGACACTGGTGAATATTAACTCAAACAGTAAAAGTATCATGATTAATTCAACCCAACTGCAGGAAGTTATTTGTGAGTGTGGGGTACCAGGGATTACTTAAAGCATTGGGTTTTGAGAAAGGAACCTTGTATAAGATTGAATGATTTATTAACCCCCAGAGAAGGCATTACACAGAGGTCAAGCCTGAGTTCAATGGCAGGGCAGCAGTAGGGAAGAACTCTGGCTATAAAGTCATCTTATTTCACTGTTTATAACAAAAGGCTTAAGAACTTCAAAGATTGTCAAAAATAATTTAACAAGGCTTATTTTTGTTATATGGGTCTGCCTGAAATAAGGCTATGATCCTTATCTTTTTTTTTTTTAAATGGCCAATCACTATACAGAACTTTGGGAATGGGTTTCTTGCCCTGACTGCCCAAAGTGCCACTCTCCACACTCTCTCAAGTGGATATATGTAGTGGTGGGAAAGGGTGCATAACCCCTGGAGCCTCTGGCCCATGCAGCAAAGCCAAAGCATTCATCTCTGGGCCACCATTGGGCTTAATGACTGCCTGACTTTAATTCTACCCCAGATGTCACATCCCATAGCTTCATGTCTTATTCTCTAGGCACTCTGATGAAATATAAACAGAGCTCTAGGACCCAGTAAAAATAGTTTATATGCCTCATTTCTATTTCTAAGTAATTCTTGAGAAATTAGATTGGAATTTGATTGATTATAATCACTACAAAGTTGTATGTATCATGGCAAAGATTCTTAACAATGATCTGTATCACCCCAGAAATAACATTCATTGAAAAAAAAAGTGAAACATTTTGAGGAAAACACTTTTTTCATCTAGTTAGAAATATAGTAGGGGAAGGTGAGAGGATATTGATCAAAGAACACAAAGTTTCAATTTTACAAGATGAGTAACTGTGGGAGCCCTAACGGATAGCACAGTTACAATAGTTAATATCATTTTCTTTTTTAAAAAATGTTTTTTTAGTTATACATGGACACAATATCTTTATTTTGTTTATTTATTTATTTTTTTAATATGGTGCTGAGGATCGAACCCAGGGTCTCTCACATGAGAGGCGAGCGCTCTATCACTGAGCCACAACCCAGCCCCCCATTTTCTTTTTAAATATTTTTTTAGTTGCAGATGGACACGATACCTTTATTTTATTTATTTATTTTTATGTGATGCTGAGGATCAAATTCAGTGTCTCACAAATGCTAGGCAAGTGCGCTATGATCAAGCTACAACTATAACACAGTTAATACCATTTTCAATACCTATAATTTGTTTAGAATCTAGATCCTAAGTCAACACACACACACACACACAAATGATAGCTATACAGAGTTAATGGCTATGCTAATTAACATAATTGTGGTGATCATTTCACAACATATATGTATATCAAAATATCATGTTACAGTATGGGAGCAGGAAAGATGGTGGAATGTGATGGACATTATTACCCTAGGTACATGTATGACTGCACATATGGTGCGATGCTACACTACATCATGTACAATCAGAGAAATGAAAAGTTGTGCTGCAGTTGTGTACAATGAATCAAAATGTATTCTGCTGTCATGTAGACCTAATCAAAAATAAATAAATAATTTTTTTAAAAAAATCTCGTTGTACAACTGAAACACATAAAATTTTATGTCACTGATATCTCCACAAAGCTCTTCTAATTAAAATTTAAAAATAAGAATATAATAATATCATTTCCTGAAATAGACTATAATAATATAGAATATAACAATATTGTTTTCTATTATCTGAATTAATCCAGTCTCCCAACACTAATGAATGAGACAAATACAGAAAGCCAGACACAGAACAGGGCTGAGGTTGTGGGACTGAGCAAAGCTGAAGTGACGAGAGGCCCTGGAAGAACTCAGCAAGGGACCCCACTGGGTAACTCTCATTCAACAGTCACATACTAAATTAAACACCCCTAACCCAAGAGAGTCACAGAGATGCCACAATGTAAGTAAGGCTCTCCTCTGAATGCATGTCACAGGAAAAGGGCGCACTGTTTTTACCCTCCATTTCCTCACTTGGAAAAATTACAGCAGTGCCATTTCTAATTCAGTGTTATGCTACGAAGGTTGCAAATTAATTGCAATTATGCCTTCTTTGTGCCAAGTGATAATTTACTGCAATTAATTATCAAAAGATCTACTGCTGTCAATTATGATGCTTGCTCTTGAGGGGGAGGAGCTATTTGTGAGCCTCTGAAGTCTGTAACAAAGTTATGTTTTGCTCTTTTTTTTTCCCATTTCCAATTAAGCTATTATAATTTGTTTTCATTATACCAAACACAATGGAGAAACTAACAATGTTACTCTAACCTTTTTCTTAATCTAGACACAATCTAGACCTACACTGAGTCAACACCCCTATTGTTACACCTGCAAGTTGTACACGGAGGCAGGCACACTTCAGAATTAATGAGTGCAGCTGTGGTCTCTCTTACATGCAGCACTTGTAAAATAGACCTCCTTAAAGTGCCATTATCACAATATTGATAGAGTTATTTATAGCACTGCGACCGCTCCCAGTCATAACAGAGGACTGGTTATCCACAGCAAGTTCATGCTGCTGTTATCCCCTGGCCTTCATCCAGAACCTGGGAGCAGGCACCAGGTGGACCATTTTTCAAAAATGAGCTCCAAAAGACACCCAAAAAACTTTCTATCATAGTGAATCTGATCGCCATAGGAAGGTCAAGTAGCTGAGTGACAACCTCTAGGAAACACTGCAAGCCAGCCAGGGTCCAAATACCATGAACTCTGACCCCACAGCAGGGTGGGCTGCAAGACATGTCACCCATGACCTGACCCTACACAGTTATGCTGGGAAAGGGAAATTCAGGGTGCAATGTGTGTGCTGTTTCTTCATAAGCAAGCAGAGAGATGTCTGTGAAGAAGTTCAGGGGGAAACCATTGGGTCCAAACTCAGGCTCATTCGGTCCCATTCCATAGGGCTCCTCTGCTCTGTCCCTTCTATGCGGGGAACGCCTCATGTGCACATTTTCCCTATTAAATTTTAAGTTCTTTGTGGGTAAAGAGTACACCTTATCTGTGGGGTTTTTGTTTTGTTTGTTTTGTTTTGTTTTCTAGCCCCGTGCTGAGTACCTGATCGGTGCTCTGTGAATTTAAGAATTCTTCGCTATGCACCAATCATATGCGAATCTTAGCACCGGGTCCTAGAAAGCAAAGACATATATAAATCAGCCTGTCTTCCCTTAGGAATGTCACAATTTAGGAAAAGAGTTCCTTATCTTCTTAGGAGTCACAGAATTCTTTG